CTGTCTTATTGCAAGCATTGAAACTCTGACACACTGACTATTCATACTGGCATGGAGTATTTGTATATAATTTGACACATGGTGAAGCATTCAGATATCATATTCACCTGTGGCACAAAATGTATGATAAATAATTTTGGCACCTTCTTAACAGGGACCATAAATTTTTCTCCCTGCATTGTAAAATGTAGATATTTTGGATTTCTCTGCCAATATATGACATTTAAGGCACTATAAAAATATTAAGGACAACTAATGCAACTAATAATTCAATAATGTAACATTTGAAAAGACATATACAAAGAAAAAATATTTAACTAGCGTAAAATGCACATTTAATTAAGTTGAATGTGTAAATAAAAAATACATGTATTTTAAGAAGGCAGTAAAGAAGATGAAAGCTCTTTTATTGAGTTAAACCATTCTTCCATCTAGTACAGCTCTGATGACACTGAATGCCAGCAGCTCTGCATGATTTCAGAGATGCATTTCTCCAAGCTGTCTGGAGACATCAGAAGTTGAACCTTGGCCTCTGCTGTGCAGCCTAGACACAAATCACAGCTGAAAGCTGAAACTATTGAACAAGCTGAGAAAATGAACTGATTTTCATTGGATGCCAAGAGACAGGCATTTAAAGAAGACATTCCATAGCTGGGATACTACCACAACAACAAGTAGCTTCTCTCCTGCAATAGCATGATATTAATTTGGTAAAAATACCCAGAAAAAGCTTCTAAAGCATTTAATGATTGGGGCCTTCAGAGAAAGAAATTAATCTTATAGTTGTACTTGGAATGTAACCAAAATGTCAAATTAAATGAATATCAGAACATGGATGGCTTAAGAAAAGTATTCCCTGCTCATCTACTTCAGCTTAATAACTTAAGTTGAGATTCTTGGTTCTAGTGACCATCTTTATCTTTAATGATACAGATGGATCAATGATTTCAAATCAACTCCATTATTGGCCAAAATCCCATAATGAGTTCCTTTTCTTATAAAAAGGTTTCTCGATCATCAGATAACAAAAGCAGGCCACCATAAATATCATGTTAACCACCATACTATTTAAATATCTGGAATGCTGAACGTACTATAACTGTAGAGCCCCAAGGGAAAATTGAAATAAGGGGTCTTGGCAGCTTCAAAGACTGGGCCCATCTGTCTCCATTACCTCTCAAGTCTGTTAACTTTTTTTTCCAAATTACTCCTGCTTATAGCCGCCAAGATTGATTCAGGTTTTGTCTCCTGTTTGTCGGGGCCTTTATACCATGCTGAGCCATATATTTCCTTAATTATGTTTCCCTAAAAGAAAACACAATAGCTGGCTTTTTATAATATGTTAATCCCACACCATACAAACATTATGAATTATCATGAAGCATTCATTCAACCATGAAGTGTCTGTGTTCCAGCTCCAATATTCTGATTCCACCTCTAGAAATGTTTTTGGGCCGGCTGTCCACCAGCAACTCAGTGCTGACATTGCCTCTAGTTGTTATACAAACAGCAGCCTGGTGGCTCAATGTTTAAGATACTGGGCTTCTCAGCCTGAAAGCTGGCAAGCCAGGTTTGAGACCTGAGCACCATGCAATGGAGTGAGCTCCTGCCAACCTAGCAGTTCAAAAGCATACAAATGTAAGTAGATAAACAGGTACACTTCAGTGGGAAGGTAATAGTGCTCCGTGATGGTATGCTGGCCACATGACCATAGAAATGTCTTCAGAGAGTGTTGGCTCAATGACCTGGAAATGGAAACAAACACAGCCCCCAAAGACTAGCAGAATAAAATCCACAGGGACTCCTTTACCTTTATACAAATTCCCTTACCATCTTGCTATTAGCTGTTTTTGGAAAACTTTATGAAAATATTTGACAGCTCCTTTGAGAAATGTGTGGCATTTTTGTCATGTTTTTAGTTATTTGCATAGTAACTATGACTGAAAATGTTTACATTAATTATTTGCAAGTTAGCTTAGAATCAGAACAATGTATACTGATGAAAGAATTGGCTTGTATGGAAGCAGTGTTCCTACTAATATCCATTTATCCTACGCCACTTTGTACAATAACAGCCAACAACTGTAAACTGTGTTTATTGCATGCTATTACCTTTTGACCTTTTAAATCTGGAGAAATTATGGCAGACAAATGCTTTGTAGAAAAAGGATAGATGCTTAATTAGACTAATTACAGCTCTTTATCAAGATCTTATTATGAGAACTAACCTAAATGAGGTTTCAATAGACCAAATCAGCTGTGCCAGAATTGCTGGGAAGCTTTGCTTAGCCGCTGTGCAATTCTGCTGAGTATACATAATATACTAAAAGCAGTCTGAGAAATTATTTCTAAAAAACTGGAATATACAGATTTTCCTTATACAGAATGAAAATGTCATGATCTTTTCTGTCACAATGTAAAGACTATAGTGATACATGTTCCATAAATTCTCTTATGGTTGCTAGAAAACAAGACTGCAGTAATGCTTCTGATAGAATGTAATGAAAACATCTTAAATGATATTCCATTTTTTTTAAAAGTCAGGTCTTTTAAATATTTACTTTTCTCTTCCTTTCTGCCAATTTTCTTCCAAAGTAAGTTGGAAATGCCAGTTGGATTAAATTAAGAAGCTTGGAAGTTATATAAATATATTATAGAAGAAAAAGTGAGCAAGTAGCCAAAACAACAATATATACTACTTAATTGGTTCTTTTTCTTTTTTAACATATATTTCTAATGTAGAAACAGAATCATTTGTGATGTGAAGGCCAGAATCATCTAATTTTTGATTGGCTTAAATTGATAAGATTCTAATTTAACAAGTTTTAAGAAAATTAAAATATACTGAGAATATACAAAGGAATACTATATTCATAATACTGATGTATTAAAAAGTATATTTTTCAGTGTAGCAGTAGGCTAATCTCAAATGTTTCCCATTTGATCTTGCAACCTGTTATACATTATAATTATAATAAGCCTGTCAGGTATCCACAACCACTGGAAATCATACCTATATATATCAGTTACAATTTAATTCGTATTTGAGCTTAAAGGACAAATATTGTTTAGTTAGATTGTAAATATTACCTGATATTTTAAATTTGTCAAAATTGCTGATAATAATTACTTACAGAGAATGACAAAATCTGGCCTAAAGACACAAATATCCAAATGCTTTTTATACTTTAAGCAATATCACTTATGTTATGACCTGTGGTCAAAACAATAACCTATTTATATAATGTAATGTAATTTATATAACTCTCTAACATATGATTAGATCAATGTAAAAATACTGAAATAAAACAACTGTTGCATTCCACTGCAACTGTTTTCAGAGTTCACGCTCTCTACTCTATGTAAGTACATGAAACTTATATAAGAAACTTAAATGAATCCGAGGTATCAAAAATATTATTTCAAAATTCATCATATTCTGCTTTCTGAGCTTTTTTTAACTGTCTTAGTGTACTCCTAATTACATGACTGAAAATAAAAACAAACACTTTATTTTAACATTGATCTTTGTGCTTTTATTTCAGACTATTAAAAACAATGGTTACTTTAAGAGAAATTCACACATCTATATTCAATACTGGATAACTGCTGGATCATGCTGTGGCACTGATGATGCTCATGTTTGAAACAACCTTCACAAATCGAGAGCAACAGAATTCATTTATGAATCGCCTAACAAAATCTCCAGCAGTTAAATATAAGGCAGCTCACGCTGCTGCCAAATGAAGTTTTTCTAATCTAATTTTACACATATCTGCTTTAAAATAGGTGCAGCTAAGTGTAATGATGCTGAATCCTAGATAAGAGATTGCAGGATTTCAGTATAAGGGCTGTACATTCTAATACCGTTTTTATAGAAGAAATAGACATTTGTACCTAGATGAGCATAGGATGCTACTGCAAATGTTACATATCTCTTTCAACACATGAGAGGAAACAACAGACTCCCAAAAGTAAACACTTCACCCAGCACTCAGCTTTAAAAAAAAAAAGCATGCTAATTAATGAAGAGTGGCTTCAGAGAAACCAAGACAGACCAGTTCTTAACTGCATACTGAGTTTTGAAATGAAACTGCTATGGTATTAACAGATATACTGCCGAATCTGATTAGCCACTGCAAGTAATTCATTTGGTGAGAAATTGGTCATGCTGTGGAAAACAATTCTGATGCTTTGGAATTGCTGGTAGATGTGTGTGAGAGACAGATGGAAATGGAGAGTCGTCTCTATTTCCACATCGCTCCCTAACATGTTGTGCATGTTGCAATTGGTACAAAAATCCCTGGCAGAACTCTTTGCCCTCTAGACATCAACCAGAGGGCAAATCGTATGGCTGCTGTCCCTGGAGCTTAGCGTTTTTGGACTCAGATGCTGTCCTGAACCAGAGAGAGGGTAACATCAAAATGACAACCTGGATTAATATGCTGGATGGCTTTTGCAGGTGTGTGGGAAAATGGGCAATAGCGGGATTTCAAATCCCATTAAATATAACAAAGTCAATACTCTCCACGTTGCTTTTATATATAAAAAAAACCCAGGGAAAAGAAAAGAAAGAGGATGAAAACAAAAACGAAATAATTCATTTTCCATTAAAAGCTGCACTCCTCTTCACACCCAATTAGGTATCAACTCCCTCTCTGAACATTCCGGAAGATTTTAAATTTTTTTGCGAAGTAAGTATTAAATAGCATCCAAGGGCTTCTCGGATATATTTCCTATCCCGCTTGCACTTAAGAATAAGTTCGAAGGAAGAAATCGGCCCCAAGAAATCGGCGAATTCTATCAGGGTCCCGCGCTGGGTGGAGAAATGCTGCGGAATTGCTAGTCGGCTTTCTCGGCCACCGCGGGAGGCGACGGCGATTGAGAAAAAAATGCTGTCGGAGGTCATTCGTTCCGAAGACCTACCACCACCACCTCCCAGCCCACCCTGCAACGCCTGTTTAGGCGAAGGGGAAAAGAAGGGACCGCTCCCCACTGACCTGACCGCAGGGATCCTCTCGCGCTTCCTTCAAGGCAGGGCGCCGTCCAGTACGGAGCTCGCCTCCCGGAGAGCCACCAACATGCTCCACGAGCAGAAGCTGCCAAAGCCGGCGGGGCGGGTCAGAGCGACGAGCCTTTCCCTGGGTGGGGCGATACCGCCGCTTCCATCCAATCAGCAGCCTGCGCCAGCCTTGACTAGCTCGGGAACGGCGAGACCGAACCCAGAGCTGCGGGGCGGCGATTGCTTTGCTTCGCACGATTCGTTAGGCTCCGCATAGGAATGTGACCTGGAGACTTGGTTAGTGGTCAGCTTTGCACTGGGTGGGGCTTTGAACTCCGGCTTACCCAATCAGCCCAGTCGAATGCAAATAATTGCATGCTGCCCCCGACCTCCAACTTGTAGAAAATCCTTCCAGCGATTGTTGATGAACTCAAAATATTCCTGGAGAACGACGACGAGACTTTGGTCCTAGAAACGCACTTTTTTCATCCTAGACCTGAAGTTAACAGAAACGGGGGGGGGGAGCTAGCAAGAAAATGTAAGATTTCAAATCTAATAATAATAATAATAATTTTAATAATTTAATGAAGACCAACACCAGCTGAAGAACTGGCAGCTGTGATTACACATTGTTGGGTATATTATCATTTATAGGTAACTCATTTTATCTAAGGAGAGAACTCCAGAAATTGGGATCCCCATTGAAAAGGCATTGATAATGGTACCTGCTGATTTTGGTGAATCTTCAGGATATGATTTCTTGTTTAGCAAGCAATTGTGTTGTGTGAACCTGTTTTGTATATAATAAATCATGATAAAGCAAGCTTTGGTTTATCATTGTGTGTGAATTTATATATGATGTAAAATAGATATAATATACAGATTCATTTTCACTTTCACCTTTGGATTCTAGATGTGAAAGATGAGATAATAGTATGTCAGTGGTAATTCAGTCTGATACTGTCAAGAGTGCAATCAAATCCAGAACTTTAAAAAAGATAGTGTAATTTTTTTTAAAAAATGCAGGAAAGGACAATGAAGATAATGGGGGGGGAGGAAATATTACACCCAACAGCAGAGAGATTTGTAGATCAGAACAGAAGCAAGGGCTTGACTCGAACTTTGAATGAAAAGAAAAGACACTCCCATGGGGAAAGTGAATGGCGTCAGCTAAGTGGTATCCACCAGATGTAGAATATTTTAGTTTGGGGAGAGCTATACTAAATATTGGTACACTGAGCTTAAGTGTGACACCCTATTGAATCTTGATGGCAATGGGTTCAAAACAGACCCCTACCCCACTTTCTAACTTCTTTATACAATGTGTCATTAGCTTATAGATTTCCTGTCACAAGATATGTCAGAATTATCACTAGTTTACCATTTTAAATGCAGATTAGAAATAAATCAAAGAAGGGTTGAAGGAGAATATTTGTGACTTGGGGTTGAAATGAAGCATCCTTGATGCTCATTGCAGATGTTTCATTACCCAAACATCATCAGTGCTAGTGCTAAAGTACAGGTTATGTTTGTTTGTTTTATGCACCGCTACACTCATAGTACAGCGGTTCTCAACCTATGGGTCGCGACCCCATTTGGGGTCGATCGACCATTTTACGGGAGTCGCCAAACAATGCGATCCGCCATTTTCCCCTCTCAGGGGGTGGCGCAGCGCATGGGGGCGCCGCCGCGCATGCACGCCGCACCATGCATGCGCGGCACGTTCGTGTGACGGGGGTCGCCGTCACACAAACGTTGAGAAACGCTGCTCATAGTAGAATATAATAGAGTTTCTGACTAAATATATTAGTATGTATAGTAACAATACATAAATCCTAAATTTAAAATGACATATTAAAAGTACCCATTGCAAATCTTAACCAAAGTCTCTTATGAACAACCCCATAGTAAGAGCTTTTCTAAAGATCAGGAATGATGGCACTGTTTATATTTCCAATAGGAGAGAAACCTTTGCATTCCTACTCAGAATGTGCATGCTGAATGGGTAAGTTTCATTTAAAGTTCATGGTCTGCAAAATCCTGAGTGCCAACGTATATGGATTCTATATGTCAAAACCAACTGCATTGAGAAGCCTATTTATAACCAGTGTAACTCTTGCAGCACTACTGTTATGTGCAAGTACAGTTCTCATCCAACAATAAGAGAGTTGTTGCATTTTGAACCAACTTAGCTTCTAAATAATCTTAAAGACAATCTGAAGTAGAGTGCATTACGCTAATCTAATCAGAAGGTAAAACTAAGCATACATCTGCTTCTTTCAAGCCAGGCAATAAGATTTTCAAAGCAGGCAAAGCATTGACCACCTTCTTGATCCAATAAGAGAAGTAAGGATGCTTTACCACTCTTTTGCCATTGTGTAAATTCAGGCATGAGCTCATACCTGTATTTGGACAAATGTACTTCTAATCTGTCTCCCTGTATCATTTCTGTTTCATTTTCTAGTAAGCCAAAAGAAACCATAGAATCAGAGAACCAAAGAGGCCACTTTCATATTCCAGAGCTGTAGCAGACATTTAGGGGACTGCTTTCTAGATTACTGGGAATGCCCAAGAACCTATTGGAACCTATTGGATCCATGAAGCACATAGACTAGACCAACTTAATGAACCCCCCTGCCTTGTGGGAAGTTGAGGCAATGACTGTCTGTTTAGAACATTTATATGGCCGCCCACTCACTCTCAGTGACTTGGGTGGCTTACAAAAAATAAAAATCTCTTATACAATAAAAACAATAACTCCACCACCTCGCTGGCCACAGCAATCAGTCAAACTAGCCACTTGATGACTCATCTCAGATGAATGACAAAAGTCTAACTAACATGTCCTTTTCAAATGACAAGTTCACTAAGAGAATTAATCCATGATTACCATAAAGACCATGAATCTTTGGACTATATTTGAATTGTATCCCACTACAAACACAGGAGATTCTGTAATGGAAGATGAAAAATACTATATCAGTTTTCCATTTGTGCTAATTGTGCTAATAGCACAATTTGTGCTAATAGTACAAATTGGTTGAGTGCTAAATGCTTCAGTGGAAGTCAGAAGTAATAATATATCAATACAATCTTTACCATCAGGTAACCACATAGTAAGGGACATTGTAGGAATTCATTTTCACTCCTGACTCTACTGGACTATGAGAAAAAAACTAATGATTTTCTATGAATTTGAATTTTTTTAAATATATGTTATTGATTTTTTTACAATAACAATTTTTAGTGCTTAGTACACGCTTAGCGTGTTGTCTGGGTTCATATATTTAAAAAATAATCAATAGTAATTAATTTTTATAATTCCATAATCAATCTATTGATTAATGATATATTTCTTTGATCTTCTCTTCTTCCAATAGTATTCTCCTTTTATCAACATTAAGCAAATATAGTTCTTAATACTTTCAATATATACAAGGTTGAATATAAATATTTTTCTTATGTTAATACAAATAACAGTAACAACAGCATATAAAATCTTTTCTCATCTGTTTATGTTTCCATTATATTCATAAAAGTCATCTTATTAAGTCACGATGAATCCTGTTTTCAAGATTCTTATTTAAGCTTAATTTTCCCTCTGTATTCAAACCATTCTTATCAGTCATCATTTTCTCAATATTAATTACCTTTAAATATCCAAACTTTTTATTCACATACACCATCCCAATATTTTTATAATTCATATATTATAAAGAATAATATACTACTAATATATCTTATCCCTCTTACTGTAGAGACCCTTTATATCCATGATTTATCTATTCTTTTAACCATATTCAAACAAGTATTTAATCATATACTACTCCATCTGGTAGGTTGAATCAAATCTCTTGAATCTAACTCTAGCGTTCTTCTTTTGCAAAGTAGTTTTCCAAGTCAGTGTATTCAGCTTGCCAGGAGATTCTTCCTGTATTTTTGTGAATGTTGTTGGGAATAGAAAAGACAAATTAAGTAGAATGTGCGTTCTTTGTCTCCCAAATTCTAATAATTCTCCTGGCTTCTCTATAATCCATTTTGTTAGATCTTCTTTCCTATCTTTAAGTTTATATTGAAGTTCTGAGAAATAAAATATCTTTTCCATTTCCATTGCTGTGGGAAAATCTTGCAAGTTTTCTTTTGTTTGTATTAGACTGTAGTTCTCTACATTTGTAGCATCCCTCTTTGGATCCCTGTCCTCTAGTTTGTATTCTGTTATCTGGTTTGTTCATTCTTTGTTGTTTTCTGAGAGTTTTTAAATTGTAGGTTTAAATTAAAGATGTGTTCATTTATGTTGTCAAAGTTGTTTTTAATCTCATCATGATTTGAAACTATTGTCATTTGAATCTGTCATAGCATTGCATACGTTTCCTCCTTGTCTTAAAGTATTGCTCCTGCAGATCTTTGATGTTCCAGGCTAGGGCCTTCAGAAGGAGATATTAGGTGTGGTTTCCTGCCACTTTTTGATAAGTATGTAGCATCCATTTGTCTCCCCACTCCAGATAGTCTTTTACCGGTACCATAGTCTCTGTAATTAGCCTTGTCAAACCAGCCAATCTTAAAGTCTAAACAACCAAATCTTATATAGTTCTTATCTTTATATATGGTTTTTATAATCCAATATGTTCTAATTATCAAAGCACCGTTAAAAGCAGCATTTTATAATAGTTCTTCTATTCAAGGGTCTTACAATTATCAGCCAGTCAGATTTAGAGTCCAGAATATTTAACCACCTAAGAGTTTTCCAGTAAATTCCCCCCTAGAAGATTAGTCAAAAGTCAAGATTTTTCTTTCTCTGTAAATAATTCTTGAGCTTAGAAATCACAGCTCAGTAAGTATTTATAATGCCAGAAGGTCAGCAGTTTTTAAAACAAACATAGTTCTCATACTGTAGTAGATAGCCCAGTGGGTTTTCTTTCCCGCTGTTCTCTATTTGGCAAGAAGACACTGAGGTTCAAAGGAACAAGTTGTTCTTTATTTCTGGGCATCTTGCCAATTTCTGAGTCAATTCAGATGTTGTTCTATGCTCTAATCCTCCACTAGATATCAGTAGCCACTCATTTTCCAACTTTTAAAGCAAAAAGTTATTTTCTTGTAATTTCATCAATACTTTTTCAGATGTAAAGTCTTGATAGTTTTCATGATTTTCAGATTAATCAAGACTGTAGTATTATTAAGTTCATTTCAATATATTTCTGTCCCTCATAAAAATTAAGTCCCGCTTCCATCAATGGAAGGGTGGGGATGTAGTCCTCTCCCTCCTCACTTTTGGAGTATTTTTTGCTTCTTGGGGATCTTTTCCAGGAAATCAATTACAAAATAGAAGAGAGAAGATTGATATTCTCAACCTGTTCCAAGCACACTATTCATGGTTGTTCTAGTTAGGGCTTTTGGACTTTGGCTGCGGTAGTTTGGGCTAGTCACTGGTGTGCAGCTAGCCTTTCTCATATCAGGTTGGAGGGCTTTCCCCAGATCAAACGGAATGACTCTCCTTCTTCATCGCCTCTCCACGGCAACTTTAGACCCATTTAGGATCACCTGGCAGGGCGAAACCAGCCGTGGGGTGCAGAGCTCCACAATCCCTCAGCCATGCGCTATGCTGCAAAACCAGAAGTCTCTGAATTTGAACCCTTTTTAATGAACATCTAGTTTACTTTATCCATAAGGATACATTCCAATTAATTGTGCATTGCA